TTCCACCTATAAGACCATGAGTGGTCAAAAATATGTAACTGGAGAGCAGGAAAAAGTATAAATGGACCAGAAACTGAATCTCTGAGCCCTGTATCACTACTCAAGTGCTCTAATAATGCACTGAGACACTCATGCCACCATATTACCAAAGGTAACAAATTATAAGCCTAAGGTATATATTTTTATACCATTTACTAAAATGACATAAAAACTTCCACACAAAGTTAGAATGGACTAATCCTGACCTTACCTTTAAAAAATTCAGTAGCTTTATAACCTCTTGAATGGAAGATAAAACAGACAAAGTGAGTTAGAATGGAAGCTAAAGTAGGCCAAGTGAGCCAAGTGGGTAAAAATGGAAGCTAAAACAGGCCAAGTGAGTTAGAATGGAAGGTAATGAAGGCCAACTGGGTTAGAATGGAAGCTAAAGTAGGCCAAGTGAGTAAGAATGAAAGCTAAAGTAAGCAAAGTGGGTTAGAATGGAAGCTCAAGTAGGCCAAGTGAGTTAGAATAAAAGTTAAAGTAGGAAAAGTGGGTTAGAATGGATGCTAAAGTAGGCCAAGTGAGTTAGAATGAAAGCTGAAGTAGGAAAAGTGGGTTAGAATGGAAGCTAAAATAGGTCAAGTGAGTTAGAATGAAAGCTAAAGTAGCAAAGTGAGTTAGAATGGAAGCTAAAATAGGTCAAGGGGGTTAGAATGAAAGCTAAAGTAGGAAAAGTGGGTTAGAATGGAAGCTAAAGTAGGCCAAGTGAGTTAGAATGAAAATTAAAGTAGGCAAAGTGAGCTTGAATAGAAGCTAAAGTGGGCCAAGTGGGTAAAATTGGAAGCTAAAGCAGGGCAAGTGGGTTTAAAAGTGGGCCACATGGGTTAAAATGGAATTTAAAGTGGGCCAAGTGGGTTAAAAAAGAAGCCAAAGTTGGTCAAGTGTGTTAAAAGAAGCTAAAGTGAGCCACGTGGGTTGAAATGGAAGCTAAAGTGGGCCAAGTGGGTTAACATGGAAGCTAAAGTTGGCCAAGTGGGTTAAAATGGAAGCTAAAGTGGGCCAAGTGGGTTATAATGGAAGTTGAAGTGGGCCAAGTGGGTTATAATGGATGTGCTTTTTAAAGCAGGCCAATATTTTGGTAGAATTAAGTCAGTGGGTGGAGGAAATATGGAAATGCATCATTCTAAGAATGTAGCATATGTTAAGCATCAAAATATAATGCATTACCATTGGAAATAAGGTATGCTAATGGATGCCATAACTTGGTATAGGTATGTCAGCTATGATGTAACCTGCTCTATTACTATTGCTGGAACGAAAGATAGTGTTGAATACCGGTAAGCAAAACAAAAAAGAAGGAAAAATAAATAAACAAACACAAAAAAGTAAAGATTTAAACTATCATGATGTCTGTCAAAGCTTGATGACTCCGCATGGTGTTATGTGTAAGTGCTTACCTTAATATAAACATATTGACTAGATTCCAAAACGCATCTGCACTAACTGTTTTCTAACAATCAATTTTTCACTGCTACACATATCCCCCTTCACCCCATCTCCATTTAACTTCATACAAATAATCAGTTTGCCTGCCTCAATAGAAAGCATTGTTGTATTATCAAAATCATTACAGAAAGAGGTAATTCAATTTCGGCAACTGTTTGCAGAGTAAATTTTGTCCATTCTTTACAACACTAATCTTCAATGATTTGTGAAAAACACATTCAATGATCAATTACTAGGTGTGAAATGTGAGAAATTTAATACCTTTAGGCATTTTAGCAGTCAGACTTTGTATTAATCAGTTAATTCCCAACTATATGTCTTTTTTCCTAGATAAACCATTATTTAATGGAAAATAATTCAAACATTTTTTTTTAAGCTAGCATAAACATTTCAGTTTCAATCCTAGCTTATGATGATTTATTAAAGGTTTACAGTTTTCAGGTTTTCACAAATGCTGAAAATATTATTTTCAATAATTGATTGCATATTTCATAAAAAGTTACACAACGCCCACACTGTTTAAAAAAAGTCTTCATTAATAACACACTTCAAAGGAATTATCTTTATGACAAACAATGGCCCAGTCATGATATTAAAATTTAAGGAATTTGTTACATTAAAATTCTCCCCAAATCCACACAACCAAATTTAAAATGGCTCTATATCAAACTAAGGCCCTATCATTTACTGATTGAACTTTGGCTTATGATGTTCTGGCTGTTTATCAAAGGTAATGGCTCTGTATACTAACTGTTTGAGTAAACTTCATCAATTCCTGTAGTGTCTATATACTAACCCTCCCAATCTCCTGCTTAAACAAAACTTACAAGAGGCAGACTGGATACAAACTATCAACTACCCTAGAGCTCTCATTTTTTGCTTATATGTATTATATGTACACAACATAACTCAACTGAGAATTGTGAATTCAGATTCTTAAGACTTTGTTTGAGTGAATGAATCACATAATTAGATTGATTGTTTGTATGTTGTTTTATGTCCCATCTAAGAACTTTCATATAGAGATGTCACCTTAAATTTCAACCTCTTCTCAGAACTCGGAGCCATTGAACAGTGATGATTCTTTATCATGCCGACGCCTATAGTGACACAGAGCCTTTGTTTTTCAGGTCTTGTCCAAAAGACCTGCAACACTCACTTCAAAATGCTTGATGAAGGAACAGTTGCTACCTAATTTTATCAACTTAGGTCAGACACTTCTGAGATTCGAACCCACAACCTTATTGTGGCGTAATCATCCTTTCAACTAAGCTACCATGATGGTTACTCCAGCATGTAATCATATAATTAAAATTTCATATCAAATAAAAATACATCTCAATGGTGGATCTCCCCCTCCCCCACCTCAAAAGAAAAAGTGGACCCCTTCTAGGATTTATACACCTAAGTGGTGGATCCAGCCAGGTGTCATAAAATGAATTTACCCCCTCCTCCATGTCTCTCTGTGATAGCTGATCCTCTCTCCCTCCCAGAGCACAATACCCCTCTCAAAGAATATAAGATACAAAAATTATTCTTTTTCTGTAAGTTTTCCTTTTCCCCCTTAACAACAGGAAACTTTTCTGACTGGAAAGGTACCCACCCTTTCAGAGAATCTCCTGGATATGCTATGTCAGAGAGTTATGTCCTAGTTTTGTCTGGTGACAGCTATATTCAGACTTCTCCAGATAATTGGCCTCCTACAGACTATAGAAGCTCATGTACAAAATCACTATCTGGTTACCTAGAATCTCCCCTATACAAATCTGTTCTGTTTGCTTGTCCATCCAAATTACATCATATGCTGGTAATATATGTGTTTTTTTATTTGCAAAGTTATCATCATGTCAAAAGATGATCAACAAAAAGTGTGAGGATACTTTATAACTTACAGCTCCTACAGATAAATTCAACACCAAGGTATTTTATATATTATATTGGTTAAAATTAAAAAGTAAGTTAAGAGTTGTAGAGAAAAACATACAAAAAGATTTTTTAACCAAAAAGATTCTTTAACAAGAGGCCTAGGGCCTTAACATTGCAAAGGATCTGCAGTAGTATAAAATAAAACTATAATATATAAACTGAGATGTGAACCAAAAAAAGAAAAAATGAAAAAAGATATTTTAACAAGAGGCCCAGGGGCCACAGCGCTCACCTGAGCACATTGGGCTTGAATTTACTCCCCCCCCCCCCTTCCAGGCGTTCTTCATTTGAACAAACTAGAATCTACACTACCTGAGGATGATTCCATATAAATACCCCGGGTATCACTAATCATAGCTTTGAAGTACTTGAAAAGAAGATTTTAAAAGGTTTCCCTATATATCCCTATGTAAAACTTGGGTCGGCCATTTTGGCCCCACCCTATCCCCAGGGCCGGGGGTCATGATTTGAACAAACTTGAATCTACACTACCTGAGGATGATTCCACATGAGTTTCATCTTTCCTGGCCCAGTGGTAATTGAGAAGGATTTTTAAAGATATTTCCTATATATTCCTATGTAAAACTTGGGTCGGCCATTTTGGCCCCATCCTTGCCCCGGGGGCCATTTTGGCTCCATCCTTGCCCCGGGGGTCATTTGAACAAACTTGAATCTACACTACCTGAGGATGATTCCACATGAGTTTCATCTTTCCTGGCCCAGTGGTTCTGGAGAAGAAGATTTTTAAAGATATTTCCTATATATTCCTATGTAAAACTTGGGTCGGCCATTTTGGCCCCACCCTTGCCCCTTGGGGGTCATGATTTGAACAAACTTGAATCTACACTACCTGAGGATGATTCCACATGAGTTTCATCTTTCCTGGCCCAGTGGTTCTGGAGAAGAAGATTTTTAAAGATATATATTCCCTATATATTCCTATGTAAAACTTGGATGATTCCACATGGTTTCATCTTTCCTGGCCCATTTTGAAGATTTTTAAAGATTTTTCCTATATATTCCCATCCTTGCCCCGGGGGTCATGATTTGAACAAACTTGAATCTACACTACCTGAGGATGCTTCCACATGAGTTTCATCTTTCCTGGCCCAGCGGTTCTGGAGAAGAAGATTTGTTAAAAATGCCATTAATTTTTAACAAATTGCCATTAATTTTTAACAAATTCACATGATTATCTCCCCTTGGAAAAGGGCGTGGCCCTTCATTTGAACAAACTTGAATCCCCTTCACCCAAGGATACTTTGTGCCAAGTTTGGTTGAAATTGGCCCAGTGGTTCTTGAGAAGAAGATGAAAATGTGAAAAGTTTACAACAACGACAACGACTACGACGACAACGGACAAATTTTGATCAGAAAAGCTCACTTGAGCCTTCGGCTCAGGTGAGCTAAAAAACACCATGCCATGATGGTGGCAACTTGAAAGGGAAAAAAATGCTGCTACCATGTCCTTATGAAAAGCTTTTACCTTCATCATCAATTGTTTAAAGTAACTATATAGACAAATGACAATATGCCACTGCCTTGAAATATGAAGGCATAAGTAAAATTTAACAGATAATACCTACCCTGGTGCTTTGGGTTGTGATGCTGAACCTCCCTCTTCTGCAGGATTCTCATAAGAGCCCACCTCCTGGAAGGGACTGTCATTCTGGTACCGCAAAATCACCTTCTGGTTACTTCTGGCTTCCTCACCTCGGCGACGGTTACCCTGGTTTTGACCTTTGACCTGCTGACCAGATATCTGGCCTTGACTGTGACTAGTATGAATATGAGAATCATGAATATGAAATTGCATCTGTCCCCTTGAATACATGTAACTAGATACTTCGAACTGGTTTTGTCTATCACCGTAGAGGTTGGCTGCTGCAGACTTGCTGTCAGTAAACACCTCACTCATTGGTCTCACAGGTTTTCTTCTTGGAGAGTCATTTACTCGGTCTCGTTTTCTGACTTCTGGTATCAACACATTGTCATCAACACTGGACCAGTTTTTGTGTTTCTGTGGGCTGTTTATATGGCCATTATGTTTTGGGGTACCCTTGTGTCTAGGACTTTGTATTCTTTCATGTTTTGGACTAGTGTCCATCTCGTTTAAGCATTTGGAATTTCGGTTCATGTTGTGTCTTGGGCTATAATCTTTGTGTCCGTTTTGTGTTGGTGTGTGTCCGTTAACTTGAGCAGGTATGGCTGGCAGGGGCCGATTTACCATGTTGGTTGAAATCTTCCTCTGAAAAGACATTTGTACAATAAATGACTTTCTGAACAACAAAACTTTTTTCACCCCAAAAATTACGTATGATTCCATGTAATCTATGAAAGCAGAGGTAAATAAATTGTTGGCATTCCCATTAAACTTAACATGGCTACATTATTGCAGCTAGTTGAAACCATTCTTGAAATATATGCATGTATATTCACTTTAAATAAACATTCTATTTTAACCTACTATTGCGCAGTAATATTCATCAGTTAAAATAACTAACCACAAAATCTTTATGAAGGTAAAGAAAGTTGAGTTTGCTTCATTTATGAGGTTACAGAAAGAGAACAAAGTTTTTCAAAACAAGAAATTAAAGTATTTTAGAAGAAAAAGAATAGCCTTGAATAAAGAAGCTGAATTGTCCCGTGTTGAGGATTAGCTTTAAATGTAAAATAACTAAATGTCAATGCTTTTCTAAAGTAGTTTCCCCTATCACCTCATATATTAGCCCTACCATCACACACTGACACCCAAATTACAGCCCTTTACATGAAATAACCCAGCATTTCTGTCTCAACATAAACCTCAATATCTCCACACAGAATTCACTTGTCAACCTTAAAACATTTGTATGCCTATTCAAACGGTTTCAGATATCACTTTCTTTAAGTTCATTCAAATTCTGAGTCATCTTAGAGACACCTTAAACAAAAAATCTTTGGACTGAAAATGACTACACAACATCATTTACTTTTCTAATGCGAAAATGATTTCCAACTTACTTACCGTACAGTGAAATCCCCATCCTTATCATGTTTTTCTTATTATTACACTTCTATTGTCTCATGTTTATATTTAACTTAGCGAGCTGGGCCGACTAGACTGATTAAGTTACTTTAAATGTTTCATATACCTGGTGCAGACAGTAATACATCACACGTTATACAAAAAAATGTCAGTTCTCTAACGAGGCCCTCAATGTATTAAAGAATGCACATCACTTTTGTCTTCTACTCAAAGGGACCCTCAGGTGCAGGTTTTATCTGTGCATAATTAAGTTTAAAATCAACCGATTAAATACAAAAAAAAACAACAATACTTATACCGTTCCTCATATTTCCAGAATAAGACTTCTCAAATTAGTAGGTGCTATTCCAGTCTTGTTAGTTTGACTTGAAATGTTCACAGGTGTGTGTGTACAACACAGTGCAAAAAAGAATCTTGACATAAAATTCCCCTAATCCCATTAGAGGCTGGTCCTCTGACATGTAATGTGCCTTTTTGTGCAGACACCACTTCCTCACATTAAAAAAATTCAATATGTAAATGTCAGTCTTCTTTTTTTCCAATTAAAAATTCCTTATCAGTTGTGTCACAACAGACATTTTGCAAATCAGACGTACTTTTTGCCCTCTTTACATAGAAAACTATAGCTTTGAATGATAGCACCCCCTCCACTTGAATGCAATGGGTTCAAAGGATGACTTGATTTTCAACAGAATATGATCAATATTTTCACTGCACGATTCATTAAAAATTCACCTCTTTTGTGATTTGTGTTAACCAGTAACCACAAAAGCTGCAATAGGTTGGTGAAATTCCATCACATTAATGTAACCCTAAGCTTCTGAAATTAATTTTACAAAACTGCACATTGGAATGGAAAGCTTTAGTGATGTGAAGAAGAACAGAGAAATTCTGGCACAATTACCTCTTGTTAATTTAAAGTTAATTTGATTTCTTTTTTGTGTGTGTGCATAGAAGTTTTTATTTACCTGTTACACTTTCCTGATTTATCTGTAAGTAATAAAAGGTACTTCATTACATAAAAAATTAATAACTAAAAATTCCCTTTTTAGGTGTCACATTATTGTGGTAATGTTCTGATTTTTTTCTCCTCTAAAAAATGAAGAAATATAGTTTCTGTTCAAACAGAGCTTTTTTAACTTGAAAACAATCACCTGACATTCATTTCACAACAAACTGAAAAAGGCATTTGAAAAACAATATAATTAATAAAATTTCAGAGAAACGTTGGAATTTATGACTTTATTCCACTCCAGAGTCAGACGGTTCCGTGTCTGGAGTATCAATCGAGGGTCTGGAGAGAGACGGAGTGAGAGTCAAGTGATATTCCAAGGAGAAAACCTCACCGCGAGGACAGGAGAGGCTCGTTAATCATCTCAAAGGCGATTACCTCACCAAAGACAGAAGGCATAACAAGTATTGGGCTGTGGAGAATATGAAGACATCAGGCATGCTTAGATTACTGAGAAATGAATCTTTGCAATGAATCATGCAACTAGATTTATACCAATACTCTTTCTGCTTCTGTTATTTTATTGTTCTCAAACAAACATTATTCCTACTGAACAAACCAGTTTTAGAAACTTTTAGAAATTCAAAGCATGTTAATTAGTTACTTATATTATGGTCATTTCCCTAAATAAATCATAACAAGATGTAGACTTCAATGGGGCTTGAATGGGTATTAACAACATCGTGAGAAGGGGTGATCGCAATTGATACCTTAGAACTGGTTAATATTCTTTTTAGCGTCTATTATATTTGCTTTACAGTTGGTTAAAAGAAGTTTTAATTTTAAAAGAATTTCTTTTGATGTACAGAAATCATTTCTGTTTAAATATGTTATATACATTACACACCAAGTCTCTGCTAGCCATGTGAGCATGCCAACAGACCACTTATGATGCATATTACTCATCGCTGAAATTGAATTTGTTGGACCTTGAAAAAAAACATGCCAGAAACCAGACTTAACACCATGAACGTCTTTCATGTAAAAAGAAAATGAAAAGCCAGGAGGGCTAATTACCACACACCGTAGACCATGTCAGCAGCTATTGTGACTGGCCTCTATACAAAAACAGGCCACACTTAGTATAAATGCAATCTACGTAATTAAAATTCTCACTTTTCATCACATTCTTTAGTTAAAAATTTATGGGGAATATCTCAGGAACATTGCATATTTATTGTGTTTCATACAGTAAGCAGCATTGTGTGAATGAAAGGGGGAAAACTGAACAAAGACTCCATCAAAATTCAACCACTCCTTATCAAATCTGATGCAATGTGCCATCTTGATTAAAAGAGTGGTATTTATCATATCTGATTGACAAGTATTAAGCTATTATTGGGTTCAAATGGGTTATAATGGACCTTTGGCATTGTTCGTTTGCGAATTTTTACTCTAGAATATTGGAAGTAAACATATTCCAGTCAGTCATTTACTCCCATTTTCTGAGTTTAGTTGATGTGTTTTATGTTAAACTGAAATAATAAACCATTTTCAACTTAATCATTCACTACATTCTAATTAAATGAAGAGAATTATTATATAAGGCACAAAAACCCTCCTGATGTATCTGAGAGAACATGCAATGATTGAAGAACAAGTCAGTAAGAGTTGTCCTTCCTTTAGCAGCTCTGGATAAAGAACTGTTCCAAACAGATAATGGGTATATAATACTGTAACTGTAATATATTTAGCATGTACAATATTTGACAGAAATTGAATTTTGAAATTAGTAAAAAAAATCATTTAGCACATTTCTTAATGCTCTAATTTGAGTAAAACAAGTGTTGTACTTGAATTGATGGAACTTGCTTTTTGACCAAAAGTGCTAAAAGCCAAATGTAGTATGTTTACAATACTTTGAAAAGAAATGAATCTTAAAACAATTACTCATTTAAAGACTACATACTGTGGAACAGTGGATATGTCCAAGTGGAACAGAAGTCACATTATGTGTTTTTACTTCAATATCTTGAATCCTTGGGTAACTTTTTTTTCCAAACCCAAACAAGTTCAAAAGAATTATATTTGACTGTACAGCAAGTAACCTTTTTATAAAAGTGAATTGTTAAAGATCTCTCTTGCACACTTTCTTCTTAAAATTCCCATTACACCTAATCAATGAATTTTTTTCAAAATATAAACGTCTATCAAACCAAAGGTTACAAAACTTTAAATATACAATGCAAAAACTTTGTATATTTAAGGTAGCCTGATCTCACCTCTCCTTTGTTGTTGTTCTGAGGTTTTAGGTAGCCCTCGGGGTCCTGTACATCCCCTGGGTTAACATTTCCATTGGTGAGGTACCCCCTATCGATGGCATCTTTGAGGGCAGTCACCGGTGATCCTTTACTTTTCCCCGGACTCCCTGACGTGTCGATGGACCCCCGGAGGATGGACAGTGGGGAGTTGGATGTTATGGGGGTCGAGTTTCTCTTCAGGGCGGCACCTGTTGGGTCTGAGAGTCGGGCGTTGTTGTTGAGGGCCTCAGACCCCGGACGACTAGCTGATCTGGAGGGAGATTCACTTCTGAGGGGGGCCAGGCCAGCTAACTCCATCATAGGAGATCTGTGTTTTACCTTATCTACCGCATGTTTGGCCTGAAACAGAAAAAAAGAATTGAGTAACATTTTACATTTCAACATACGGATTAGAACACAATAAATCCATGTAAAATGCACATTAACATGGCAAAAACAACAACAAAGAAACAAAACATGCAATACTTTAGTAGAATGCAGATTTTGATACAATTAGCAGCCATCATCCAAAAAAAGGTCTTTTATATTTCTTGAATTATGGGAAGATTCATATGATTTGCAAATCTATAAACAAATGTTGTTTTTAAGGGAGATAACTCAAGTCAACCTATTCAAATACAGCAGTTATATCTCAAATCAAACATGCAAATAGTTGGATTTCTATCAGAATTTGCATACAAGCAATTTAGATTTTTAGAATAAGCTTATGAAACATTAAGTAAAATAGTCTACCAAAAAGATTTTACATGCCACAAATAAATGCAAAAGAGCTACAAAAAGTAAAATAATCTGCTATAAGACAAGACTGGATGATGTACTCCAGAGAAGAAATCATCCATTGTGATGATATGACAATGGAGGATGTGACAGGACAGATAAAATGAGGAAGATGCAAGGGTATGACTGGATGAAACCAAAAAAGGTCAAATAATGAGAATGGTACCTTGGCTGGGCTGCGTTGTAATGAAAACTGAAATAAGGTTGTAAATTAATGGTAAAATGCATTGTTAGGTTAATTAAAATGATGAAATAACTCAGACTGGTTCTTCGGTGAAATTAAAATGAAACATCAATATTACAAAAATCAAGAATACTTAAAAAAAACATAATGGTTTATACACCTATATGTACACAGACTGAAAATGTTCATTTTTTCATCCATTTCTGAGCTTGAAATGTTCATTCCTTTTAATAGGTAATGTGAATTAACTTTCTACATTATTTTTACTGTGTTAAAGCTGATTGGTTTGCTCCAGATCAGGTGCAAAATAACACAATATTAATCTGAGTTACTAAAAATAACTTGCAAAAAATCCAAAGACATCTTTATAATAGTCTTTAATTTAAAACTTGCAAAACCTTAGGCAATTGACAGGTATGAACTTATTAATAATGTTTTTTTTTTTATTTTTTGTTCAAAGAAAATATTATAACAAATTTATCCCTTCGATTTGATCAATCCAGAGATAACTTCACAGAAAAGCATATAGACCTGTGCTCAGTCAATCTGCTTTTCTGTGAAGTCAGATATACTATATGTGTGCTTGAAGAAGCAGGCTTTATATTTTAGCTGCTTTGGCTTGCACAACGATGCACTAATTCAAGAATACCTCTAAGAAATCATAAACAAATACAATATAAGGCACAGAAGTGTGTATCACTAATTCATGAATAATGCCAATAACTCTATACCAAGTGATTGCGCTAATGTTTGAATATGCCAATTTTTGAACACATACAGTATCTATGGAATGATCTCATATAAGGGCTATATTTATATATTCCTTTATGAAAAATCTCTCCTTATTCTCAATAGTCAATAGTTTTGTTGTAGTACCCCATTATACATTAGTATAGAGTGGTAGTTTATTCTGCTGTCCTGGGGACTACTGACCCAGATTTTATTTTTGCTGCCCAAGTCTTTGTCCGGGGGCTGGGAATCGTCACTGCTGGACTGCCGCCTCATCTCCATGTGCTGCATGGCCTTCTCGGAGTATGGAGTGGGCGTGGCAATCTCCGCCAGCTTCTGTTGGAACACCTTCTGGGCCTGCTCCTGGTACTCCTACAATGACAATAAATTAAAGACAAATACAAAACAAAAAGTAAGGCACTATCAAAGTCACTCTATGATCTAGAATCAATTCTAATGCATTTGTCTCATTGTATATACTGCTCATACAGCTGTAGTTTTGAGTTTGATATTGATAAAACCGACTTCTAAAGTCTGTGTCTATAAATCTTCTATTATTTCAACATCTTATGATCTACATTCAGAAGGATGCTTTGTGGAAAATTTTGTGAATACTTTTAACTATGAAGTACTACCTATAAGTTCTTGATTTTCTTGGTCAGTTAGGTGCTCTTGTAGCAATGGATGTATGTGTTTATCAACAAATACCCCCATATTATGATAATAGATTAGATGGCCCTTGATTATTGGAGCCAGCTACAGGCAGCTTAGTCTTCTTTAATTTACATCAAATACAAAATAAGAAGTTTGACACAAACAACATTTCTCAATTACATGTTTGCAGTTCAATTTTTCCTTTTGCTGTTTCCTGTTTCTTAAAACCTTATCAAAGAGACAGAGACATTTTTATCAGATCTGCATTCTGATGCATTCTGATACATAGCCATGAAGAATCTGGTATAATTGGCTGTCTTAGATCCATCTTTATCCTGTATGACTAACCATCAAAAACACATGTACTTCTCACATAAACAAACAGCTGTCAGCAAAAAGCAGGTTTACCAATTTCGTAGAAATCCTGCTACAGTTAAGATGAAAATTTAGACAATAGATCAAAAATCAAATGTGAAACATGTAAATTTCCTTTCCAACTGTTGTATTTTAAAGGCTAGGGGGTACAACACTATTTACACTTCTCACTTCATCAACAACTTTGACTACATTAGAAAATTGACTACAGGAGCACATCATATGGTAGTCATTCCAGCTTCAGGTAAATTTGATTTTGATAATGGCTATTTTCTTACGATTACAGTAAAAATTGGTTATGGCGAAGTCACTGGGACCTATAAAATTACTTCTTTATATCCGTAATTCGTTATATCTGTGTAAGAAATGTGTTAAATTTATAGTGCAGGGGATCAAAGATAACTTCGCTATATCCGTGTTCGTACTAAACAAGTTTTACTGTATCCTTAAAATTTTTCCCATGGTGTGAATTACATGATATTTCCTACTTACTTAAAAAAAAAAACTGCAGCAAAAATTGTAGAAAATTAACATGTCGTCATAAATGACTGGTAAAGTCCCTCTCTTGACTCAGTGACACCATTATAGACACTAAAGAATGGGTCTAAGTTGGACATTCATTTACTAGCTGAAATTGCCTTTTTGTTAACAAATCGCATTTGACACAATCTAATTTTGTGATACAGTGTACTTAAGTGACATATGAAATTGGTCTTTTTAGCTGACAGCTACATTAATTTATAAATACCTGGAACTTTGCCTTCTGCTGAATAAGCTGTTGTTCTATCAATTCATTAAAAGTGGGCTGTTTCTCTCTCTCCTGAGCATAGGCCATCTTGAAAGCATTCCCCACTATAGCATTCAGCTCCTCTGCCTGTAAAACATGTCCTTCCCAATTAAATAACCATGCATATTTCCAGTAGTGTTATTTCCCTCTCTTAAATTCATTCAAATTTTCATTTTACCAAGTGAATTAAATGTAACCCTACCCATTGAGACATAAGAAATAAAATAGCATGAGGCTTACTGGATTTCACAAGGTGTAACCTAAACTTGCCTTAAGTGACACATGAGATAATGTTTTGTTAACTGTCTGTGAGTAAATGACCACTGATTCCTGCTGCATGTTACCAGGTGTATAGATAATCTGCACTGTCTGATACTATCAGAAGATTGATTCAAGATTAACAAGGAGGGACTTCTGCATACCACACAATACAGCCAAAATTAATGATCCACACCAACTCTGGACACCTGTACATTATAGCTATAATTCACACTTGTTCTGAAACTATTAAATGTATTAAAATTATTTTGAAATGGTCCATTTATATTTTTTGTTTCCTTTTTGATGTTCTTCATTCAGAGACTTGTAGGTTCAATAGTTGACATGGTTGATGCCAAAACATTTCATTATGAAAGGACAGCATCATTTTTCTTTCATTATTTATACATAACATCTTATAGACAAAATTCTTCCATGCTGTTTCTGGAGCTTTATCATAAAACTTCTGGAATAATGAAAGAATGTTCTTATACCAATCACAGAGTTAACTACCCCTAAATTCAATCAAGTTACATCATACGGACATATACCAGAAATAATAACCAAATAGGAAAGTTACTGAGCGATTAATAGAACAAAATATCTATATCATTTGAAATAACCCAGTTAAATAATGATTGAATCTCTTCATGGCTGTGGATTCAGACTATGTATTTGGAAAGATCTTTCACATGGTCAAGTTCATTCTCCCCCCCCCCCCCAAACAAAAAATATTGACAAGAATATATGTATATTATATGATTACAGTACCCATGGTACTTATATAGACCTGCTGCAAATTGAAACATATAAATGACCTATTACCTAAATAAGAAACTTGTGTCTGGTTAGTGCATTCTAACCCAACCACCAAACCCCATTTCTGAATACTTTATATTGAAAGGGAAGAACCTGGAACAACAAAGCAGATATCACTGATAAACTGCCAAATCTATTTCTCATTGATCTATATTTTTTCATATATCAATGATTCATTTATTCAAATTTTTACTTGACCTGTGCTACTTAATATTTCTTTCAGATCTCTGTTATGTCTACCTTGTTAAAGGGACTTGAATACATCACCTGAATGCCTATATTTATAACTCAGAACAGAAGGTGAGAAAAAAGGTAATAAAATATTTATGTTACCCAAGATAAACAATTTTCCATCAATGCTACAAAAGAAGACTATGCTCATAAACTTACAGCTATGTGTTTCTCATGAACTTCATCAAAAGCTGGTGCAAATACAAAAAACATACCAGCTCCAATTTTCTAATTATATATTGTATATACGTTATTACTGATCTAGAAATATGACCAGTCATTAAAATAGTCTTAGATACATTATAAAGAACTTTGTAAAGAATTAATGAGGATAACATAAAATTTGAGAAAGAAAAAACAAAGGAGATGTGGTCTATTGTCAGGTCAATTTGTTTATAATTTCATAGTTTATGTGGGATTCTCTAAATTTATTTGCATGGAATGAAAACATAAGGAAAAGAAAAGTCTTAAACCTACTAATCTGTCTTGTTTTCCTATGGAGCCTGTGTAGGCACTACTTTTTTTTTTTCAACTGAATTATTTATATGCATATACACATCCTATTCCACCAATGTCAAGATGTCTATGCATCCTATCACTGCTATCCTAAACTAAATACACATGTACGCAAAATAAATAAAACTTTGTATTGATCTTATTAAGTACACCAGACTCTCTTCTGGGGGCCAAATTTCCGAGTTTATCATGCATTCCTAAAAAACTGCATGTATTGATATACGTCAAATGAAATTTGATCCCTAAATGTGTGATTAGCATTTGTTACACTGGGACATTCCCAGAACAAAATCAATAATAAAAGAACAGTCGTTAAATTATAAAATAAATCATCTTACACAGCACTGCCACTGTCTAATGTTATATATAGTACATGTCCTATCTGATTCTTATCTAACTCCTACAGAATGCCAGGTTCGTAGAACTGATTTAATGATTTTTATTTCCCCATTTTGATGGAATCATTAAAGCGGTATGGATTTATAATTGCAACCAAAAATAGTTCTCAAGTTCCTGTACCTTCTGAGACATTATTGCTATTTTCAAATTAATTAATCTACGGTAACCAAAAATAGAAGGTAGAAAGGAAACTACATGTATTGCAAATTGAATCTGTTTCAATAGCTACTGAAATTATCAGACTTCAGTAAAGAATTTTATCTGCAATCTAATGGTCTAAGTAGTAGTCAATAGAAATATTTACATAATTATTGAATTCCCTGATTTTTTTTCTTTGATGTTTTAAGTTTATTATCTTCCATATTGAATAGGATCAAAGGCAATCTCAATGTACGAGTCCATGTTTACCGATTTTAATAAAGGTATTGAAAGATTACTACAGACAACTAAACTTCAATTAAATTATTACGACATTCATCTTCTGTTCATCTATAATTATTTGTCATTAATGAAATACTGACCTTGAAGAGGGAACCCAGATACTTAAAACATAACTTTGAACAAAGTTTGATTATTTATTACCATGAGCTAGGCTAAAATTATCAGACAGTTCCTAACTTTAAGCTTCTCTTTCTATATGATAAATTACATAATTTACCTAACAAGATATGACATTCCAATACTGTACTTACTTTGTAAAATTTTTAAATTTTTGCATTGAAATTTAAATCTTTTGTAAAGCAAAAAGGAGAATCATTTCCTACATATATTATGTGTGTTTATGGCATACCTATATCGTAAAATGGCAATATCATAATAATAATGGCAAGCAATCAAAAATGACCAAAACAGCACCGATAGGAATTAACACTCACCATAATTCCGATAAAAGCAGGAAATAAGTATAAAAATCAGTCCCTAAAAATCCTCCAATACCCTTAAATCATTACCAATCATGGCAAAAACAACAATATAAATATTCTTCATATATTAATATAGCTTGATTTAGTACTTACTAGAGACACTACAGTAACACACTTCTGATTGACAGAGCACTGATAGGACATGATTGACAGGTAATTACGTCACGACGTCATTTTCTGTGAGGTGTGTAAGACTTAATAATAAAGCCCCAGACCTATCTTATTCCCCACCCACATCACAAGGTGACCGGCAGGTAATAATGACAGGTAATAAAGTCCAGCGGGTCAACACACAAAACTGTCCATGATTTACAGAATTTATCATAGTACCTCTCTGTTAGTTTTAACCATTTCCTTATGCTTGATGCCATTTCCTTAACCCTTGTATGTTTGGGCCATAATACTTCTGAGCTTTTCAAAGAAATATTGGGACCATTGATGTCTTAGATACTGAATCTACTCTTATTAATATAATATTTCAATTTGAATTGAAACTCGACAGGAAGAAAAAAATGTTTTCGTGTCTGTTTTATTGCATTATTACTAAAATTATAAATAACTTATAATAAAGGATATTATCTCTGCCAAGCCCCTTAAAAAGGATCATGAGAGGATATTTGAACCAACACTGATTTTGCCACATGTCCACTTATTACATCAAATACACAAATAAAATGAAAAAAATACGCAAAAACTGACAAGCAGGAAGTGAGTAGTGTGTTATAGTATATCCCTAAGCTATAATTCCTGATGTGTCACAGTCAAGTCCTCAATGAACATCTACCATTCTTACACCTTGGACTCCATTCACCACATGAACTTGGATAACCCCTCCACAAACTACTCTAGTCCAAAATATGATAGCTCTAATATTATGATAGCTCTAATATTATGATATCATAAAAAGCTATCTTAGCATTGAGACAGCAGTTTGGACACCTACCAAGTTTTTCACAATAAATAGAGATACAGAAATATAATGCAGCTACTAAACTTCTCATATCTCTATCTAGATTATATTACATCATAAAGATTTATAAGCAGTATTTGTTGAGTTCAGCAGCCTTTTCATCAGGAATAAATCATATTCCCAGACATTTCTTGGAGTTATTGGAGAATTTAATCACTGCAAGCTATGCAATGCATCTCAAGGTTTTATCAATACATGTAATTTATCAATGTCTCTTGGCATTTTAAGTTGATAGTCTTATCTTCAAAATTCAAAGTTAAATAAAAGAGCCAATTTGAACAAGTGTTTACTTTTAAATTAAAAGAAATTTATTCAGTTGATAGAAATGCTTTTGTCAATCTTTTCCTCTAATAGTGACAGTGAATAAAATTGACATACAAAGAAAATTACACCTGCATAAAATAAGGATGAAATGAGTTCATGTACTCTAAAATTAATTTTCAAGAGATTTTATTTTTTGTTGTTTATGTTGTATAATTCAATTCAACCCCCCCCCCCCCTGAAATTTTGTTCTACTATATAGCAAGTCATTAACCACAAAAACAAATCCCCCATACCAAAAATTTCTTGACTCCTTAAAAATTAATGATTTTACAGTATCTTGGAATCACCACTCACAAGAAAGAGAAGAGCAGGGGTAGGGAGGGGCATTTTCTCACCTCTTCTTTGGTACTGGTCACAAAGGCATGACAGAACTGCATGCTGAGGTTAGCTTTGGGTTCTCTGGCCAGGAATGAAAACTGGCAGAAATCAGGATCACAGGTGGCATAGGATATCCTCTTCAGAGCATGGGCCATGTAGACACTCTAATGAACAAATTATATTCTCTTAGTATGACCATTTACTTATAAACACCATTTAATATCAGATCTTGATGAATATTTTGCATATGCACTTTTTACATTTCAGATATAATCTTCTACAAGAGGAATTCCTAACCTAACATTACTTATTTTTTTATTAGAAATATATTAAATACATATCTTGCCTTGAAATATATATACTTTTGACCCTTAAAGTATGAACATATGCATGTATTTGATGTACAATTAGATCTCTAAATATTAAACTTGTAAAAATTTGAATTGCTGCCTCTCCAAGATTAAGCAAAGGAAACAGAGATATCCTATTTTTCAAGCTTTTCTGTTTTATCTAAAATCCTGAAGAATAAAAAAAATTGAAAAATTCATTGATAAGCTTGTCAGTTTTCGTCTTGGATAAATCAATACATGGTGTAAGACCTAATCATTAAGAATCTATTTGGCAACCTTAATGATGCTATAAATACCCCTAAAACTGCACTTATCAAGATCAATTTTACCTTGCGATGTTTTAATGTACATGCAGTACTTCAGTGTGCAGACTTAAAATGAAGTAGAAATGCAAAAAATATTCTCTGATTAAATCAAGACATGGATGTAATTGGTCACTAAATACTTCACAAAATTATACTGACACATGTATTCACATGTATGCCCGGTCTGACTTTATTTAGACCCATAAGAAGTCAATCTTGACTTATACCTCTCCATCACTGCTGCAGACCTTGATCCCAGACAAGGAGATGACCAGGAGTACCTTCTTGCTCTTTGTAGAATTCTACAAAAAACAACAGAAAATAAATTTCACCAACTGTAACCACTACAATTAAAGATAAATATTTTCCTATCTCTCATACAGGAGTTAATTTGTTTTTCCCAATATATCTTTCAATGGAAATCTAATTTGGAAACTTCAATTTTATAAGTTGTCAAATAGACCCTTAAAATATTAACTATATATACAGGAACTTCATAAATTTCTAAATTATTTAATAAATTAAATACCGGTACTGTCAATCGTTTTAATTCCATGGTTTTAAAATTTTACAATATCTCAAAAAGTACCAATTGCGATGGTTTTAATTTCAAGCTGCAAAAAATTAATAAAAAATTTCTTATAAGCATTTAAACATTTTTGATGTTGAGAGAGGCACCTATTTCAGCAAAGCTATTTGAATTTTTCTAAGAAAAAAATGAAGTTTATGAAAAATGAAGTTTATGGATTTTTTTCTATCCTCAACTCCCCTATCCTGAAAACTAGCTGTTATAACAGAAAGAAATTATGGTAATGCTGAGTCGTGTCTATAGTTCATGCTTATTAGCCTACTTTAAGTGTGGCCATCTATCATGTTAAAAATATCCTTTCAAATGGCTAGCAATTTCCGTGTGTCAGAACTGTAGGCTTACCCTCATCTGTTCCAGCTGTTTCTGGACACATTCAGCCCTCTCATTGGGGTCTGCTCCGGTCACCGAAAACGACCCAATATACTACAAAATAAAACATAATAATAACACCAAGGTCAGATTCAGCCCTCCTATTGGGGTCTGCTCCGGTCACCAAAAACAACCCAATAAACTACAAAATAAAACGACCCAATTTAATAAAAAATAAAATATAAAACATGACAACCTCAGAATCTTTATATTGTAATTATTGATGAATAATCTGAAACATACCAAACTGAAGTTAGCTAGATACATGTCAACTTCAACTGAACTGTTGATTTTCTGAAGTAAAATGTCCCGATATATCATATCAAGTCTATAATAATCATCAATGAAAGGAATATCGCATTGTATTATTCACCAGAAGTCCACCTACAACCAGTAGTGTAATATTATCATTTACACTTTCATTATAAAGCACAGGTATGCCAAATATTGTGAAATTGGACACCTAGAATTTCCTCTACTGATGGTCTTAGTGACACGTAATGCAGACACAGGCATTTCATGATCTGTGATTCTACCAGGTTAATGAGTTTTCTTAAAACACCTGGTGAAATTCTTTTCTGATTACCTGTTTAAGTTCAATCATGTTGAACATTTTTAATTGCAGGTGTTAATTGTAAAAGTGCATAAACAAAGAGTAACTGTTGTATTGGAATCCTCAGTGAAACCACATTTTAGTTCACAATATATAATTTAAAAACAAAGACTTTATTTATAGAAGTATGCCACTTGGTTTTAGTAATACATGGAAACAGGCCTTCTATCATATGCAGCATTTCATCTGAAGTGCTCTACTTATAGTTAATTCATTATTGTTAGTAGATATAATTGTCAAAAAGGAACAAGACAGTTAAAAATGTTTACAAAATTTGTGAAAATTCTCTACACAGTTTAACTCGTTTAGTACAAACATGGATGTAGCGAATTTATGGACATAGCAAATTTTTCTTGGATCCCCAGCTATATAAATTTAATAAATTTCTTTATAATATACAGATATAACGAATTACAGATACAGCGAAGTTATTTCACAGGTCCCATTGACTTCGCTATAACCAAGTTTTACTGTATATCAGAGACATGTGTCTGAATACTTATCTTAGACATCTAGAGGGAGCATGATGTGGTAGTTCATGTATTAATTACTACATAGAACAATTAATGTATTTCTATCCTGTAAGGACATCTTTATGTGATACCCGGTAATGACTTGCATCAGGCACTTCCATCACTTAATTCAACTCAACAGATATTATGAAGGATGTTCAAAGCTCATTTCCCTGTGAACATAGTTGAGTTCTAAGTCCAGTTCCTGAACACTATCAAGTTTGATGATGGTACTATCAGATTTCTTGACATTTTTACTTTGATATAGATATTATTATGTTTCTACTTTAACAAATATCGCAGAGCCCAGAATTGGCTTTATATAACTTATTTGTCTACGTTAGCACCCTAGCACATTTACAGGATCCTAAAGGAGATGAAAAATAGCCCCAATCTGTTTGCATCTATTTGTGTCACTGTGATCAATAAGCTAATACCTTCTCTGGTTGTCCAGACAACAGATTAAGTTTGATTTTTCTACACTAATAGTGAGTCACTTAAGCATAGGGACATCACTCAGTCCAAAGAACATTCCAGTTAGGGCCAAGATAATTATATTTCTTGTGTACTAATATGACACTATTCTTTAATCAATAATTTCCCCCAAGTAATTTCCTTGAAATTTTCTCTTAAAATCTAATGAATATACACGGGCTATTAAGTGAAAGTAATATTATAATATAACTCATCATCAGGACTTAAAGAAAGCGAGGGCATTCACTCTCCAGAGTATATCTTGTATCATCCTCTTTTGTCTTTATCTGTGCCACAAGTTCAATGGCCTTCAATAAAACAATGATCTTGATTTGTACATATATTCTATTTTGTTTTGCCCTGGTTCTTTCCCTATCTTTTTGATAAAATATATCTCAGAATATACATCAAGAAAATCTATTACAGCACAGATATAAAACCTTTTAGCTTAATTATAAAAAAGATATCAATTGTCAGTAATCTTTTGTGTCTTCGAACATAGTGTTTCCCACAATGCCTTTTGTCACCTGAGTGGTGCAGTGGTTAGAGTGTTTGGTCCAGAGTCGCAGAGTAAGGAGTAATTCCTCATGTTGCAGGTTTGAACCATGTGAAGTTTGGACAGGGTCGATAGTGTGATGATCAAGAAGTGATGGTGCAATTATGCCATGACAGTGATGCAACGCACAACAAAACGATGAGAAAATGGCACAATGAAGCAACAGCACAATGACACAACTGTGTGATACTGATGGTATTATGACAATGAAGCGACATTTATGACTGCTCCATTGTGCTATGCCACCAGCCACCACTGTCATCAAATTGTTGCACCATTGCATGATTGGCAATATCACATCATTGTCATCGCAATATCGCACCATCGCTTCATAGTCATCACACCACTGCTTTACCGTCATTCAGCCATGCTCGTTAAAGCAATTAGTGAACTACATGGCTCTATCCGGATTCCAGCATCTGAAGCAATTGACCACTAGAAAGCTATATTACTAAATCATTTCTGGAAGTATAGTTTGGTCTAGCACTTGAGAAATAGCCCTGTTCAATAATCTTTGTTGTAGATAATGATCCTGCCAGGTAAAAAACATAATTTCATTTTAACTTCATTGAGATGAGCTACAGATATACAATCATAATTCTTCACTTTGCAATCTTAGTACTAGCAATACAAGTACAACTTGTATTTCTATTCATCATGATCTCAAAGAAATTGGTTCAGCATGAAGTAAGTTGTATCTACAATACACTAATCAGTGGCACCCCATCTCTAAAGCCTACAGAATCAAAATTAATTACAGTGAGTTAATTGTTCATCAAGGATGACAGATAGACACAAATAACCAGGTACTAGGTACACAGAGTTCTTCATTCAGACCACCAAGCCTCTCCTGACTAACTCAGTACAGACAGAGAAGACATATGCTGGGCAGTAATTGAATTTAATAAACCAGGATAACTTCATTACATTACCATTAATAAGTCTATAATTGAATCAAGTCTTCAGTACAGCACTGATAGACTACAGGCCATGTCTAGGCCACTTTTGTGAAATAAATAGGTCAATACATTTGACATGCATTGGAAATGCACCTTCCTGACAGTTTGTCTGTTACAGTGTGTCATGCCTCTTACAGTTGGTCTACAAAACTACAAAGCATTCTCATGTATCAGGGGGACAGGATGTCTGTAATTAAGTCACTTAAGAAACACAAGGAGACAACAAACAAAAGAATAGTAGCTCTGAGGAGCATAAAATGCTGTTTCTGTTTCTACATTTAATTTTTGAGCTGTTGAAAAGATGAATATCTCCCCTGAGATTAGAGCTGCCTGTAATCTCGGTCTGTTAACATCTGGCTAGCTCTAATAGCCTGTACCACCAAATCCAATTTAAATACTTCAAATTTTCCTTTCATGTGCTAATGTCAGTGAAAATGACTTATATCTGGTTAGGCCACACTGGGGTTAAGGGGGGTTCTTGACCTGTAGAGAGCCAGTTTACCTGTGGCCGGTGATATAGAGGACCAATATAGAAGAGTGTGTACACTAGAAAAGAGGTCACAACAGTACAGGACAGAGTGGTACAGCTGTAGAGGTTGTAAAGGAATGACTCGCTCAATTAATCTCTCCTAATCAATAAGTGTGGAGGTGTGAGTCACTATAAGACAGGGAGGAACTATTGTACTCCTGACACACAAGTACCATCTCAATCTAAGTGTATGCATCCATCAGAGCTACAGCTACCAAACAAAGGTCTGTCAATGAGTCTTGCAATGAACCTCTTGACTTCATTCCCAAAGTCACAAGGAGACACAGAATCATCCCAGTAGCTCTTTTGTAAGTCGATCATCAGCTCGGAGGGCCATTGGATGAATTGCCAGGAAATCCTCTTTTCACAAGATCAATGTGTACAGTAGCCATGATTGTACAATGCATGCACTTGACAGTCAGAATGTATATGATGTATGGGAGATCATTTCCACTTGTAGCTGTGTCCTATCCATGGACATTTATACAACAATAAACATATACCCCACATGTACTTATATATGTCGCGTTCAAAGATATTTATATAATTTGCTACGATCTTTTTCTCTGAACTTTGATCTTATGTATAGAGAATAATAAACCAGTTCATCAAAGCTTTGATCACCCAGATGAGCTCATTCTGTAGGAGCACACAAAGATATGTGTCATACTTGTATCTCACACTATATTTTATTTCTATATATCTTATCAAAGCATTTTGTAGTTCCACACTAGCACTTAAAAATTAAAGTATTTGTGAAATCAAATATGAAAGTTTTTTTCTCTATATATACGTAAACTGTGACCTTGCATATATACAGTACATGGCCATGCTTTATCAATTCTTATGCTGAAATTTGATGAACAGCATCTTTAACTGATCTAAGGCAGTTTTCATTTTAAATTCTTCTCCACCATGCATAGGATCTGATAGAAATGTTGCCAAACCTCAAGAAAATAAATTCTCAGACTGATGTAATGTCTCCAGTCATATAACAAGAGTGAGTCCATGATTTTTAATGTTATACTAAACATACTGTGTGTATTTCTAAAGAAAATTACAAATAAGTACTATTATACCAATCATTTAGTGCATCAATAAAGCATGACTGAGTTATAGGATAAGGTTTCTTATGAGTTTTCCTTGTATGGATCCATTCTACAATTATCTGTCAATTCCAACAAATAACCATTCAAGCCATGATGATGAAGTTGTATGAATATGATACTGGAGCAACCTTGAACAAATCTAAAAATATTCAGATAATATCATAAATCTTTTTTTCTTCTAGTTATTGGAATGGTTAAAAAGAATATTGTTAATAAATTTACTAATTTATCAACACGTTAATGTACTGCAATATGAAATTAGTGTATTTGTGATGGGAACTTTCACAATTTGCTTAGAACATGAACTGGTCAGGTGTACTGCTTTGAGCTCTCTTTGCTTACAGGAGAACAGCTGTATTTATGCAATCACATTGATTGTAAAGTGTGGGAATTGTTAAAAACCTTGATTATCTCAACAGCATCACAATTATACAACTTCTTTTCTTATATTTAATACAAACGAAATTTCTATGGATGGTATGTTATTGTGGATGGATTGGTACTTTTAATTTAGTATAGATAAAAAGCTGACCCAGTGTGTATGCTGGAAGTAAAAATCAAGTAAACCTTCATACATGTCATGTATTGCATAATAAAGCACTTTTTTATACACAGCATGTCAAAACAATAAAAGAACAGACACAGTGATTGCTTTTAGGCATCTGTATGTGTGGTGTTCTTACAAAATTGTTATAAACCTTTTTTTAATAAGTCAGCCAAAATGAAAATTTTCTCTGTTGTTTCATAATTACAAAGTCATTAAATATACCCCCTCAAGACAAATGCATGCAACTATGTATGACTGCATATATTAATTTGTAAATACTTTTAAGTCTTTGCTTTGATCATGGTATTTTATCCCTTTTACCTCCAGGAAAAAAAAACTTTTGTCTTGATATGAATAAGATTACACAGATGCAATTAAAATTTTAGAACTTTTAAACACCTTGACCCCAATAACCAATAACACATGCTGTGTAGAAGATAGAACATTCTATCATCAGACGAGTGCCAGTTAATTGATTTATCAATTCAAGAATTGAGAATGCACCAAAAATATCATGCAAAATCACTCAACCATTGCAAATATTTATGGGGCATCTTGTTAACAAGTCTAATTGTTAATGTTGGTGGTTTGATATTCAAATAAGATTCACATGACTTTTTCCTGCACTGTAAGGAGAAAATTATTGTTCAAATAACAGACTGACAGTGTATGGTCATTTCACACAGCAAAATTTAACTAATGACAAATTTAATCAAAGAGTTGCTTCAGTGAAATACATAAAGTTTAAGAGGCAGCACGTGCAGTGAAATATAAGTTCAAATACAATGCTCCTACATATATAAACAGCAGTTTAAGTCTTAGACGCTTTTGCCTTGGGGCGATATGAACTTGATAAGCATGATAAGAAAACACATGTATGTAATTTGATAGACTTATTGTTGTTTAACTTACTGATAAAACTTTCCAATATAAGAGAGTTTTAAGATAAAACACATTTATGATATTTTCCCTGCTCCTATCAGAACTTGAAATTAACTTCATTTTAACACGTTGGAGGGCTGTAATTTTAAAAATAACCACATGCTCTGATGATGTAACTTACCTCCACTGATTTTATAGCAGTATCGCCCTTTCCATCCGATTGTAAAACACTTTTTGGTCGATAACAGGCTCCATCCGGCAAATCTTCAATTTTTAAATCTTTTAGGTCACTTTGAACATTTTTCTTAGTCGGACTCTTTCCTGCATTAGCCACAGCAGCCGAATCCTGGGTCCTACCAACATCTGCAAACTGTTTCTCCAAAAGTCTTTCTCTTTTTTCTAGTAATTCTTTGTTTTCCTCCTGTTCTAATTGCTTCTTTGTGCGCATCAAATACATGTTGATGCCGTTATGACCCACAATTCACTTTCTTATCGACTCTCACAACATCCCAACTTCTTTGTTTTCCATCACGAACTGTTTGGTTCAACAACTTCCGGGCCAGAGGTCACGCGCGTTATCAGCAACTCAGCTGTTTGCTCGACGTCCCATGTCGAGTCAATAAATATTACGATAGGTCTCGTTCATTGAGGTGACATTTCATTGAACTGAATAAGGAGATTAAAAAAGTAACACCGTGGAAGTGACTAATGGGATATTTGTGGTCTGTTTTAGTGTTGGTCCTTACTTATTGAAATTTCATTATTGATGAATGAATCTTGAGCCCTGGCTGCAAAACCTTTTGTTAGCAAGTCTTGAGAGAAAATCCCATGATTATAAGTTCCAGACTTATGAATGCACCGTTAGCAGATAAAACAGTCTATGAAATGTATAATAAGGTCAAACACATTGAATATATATTACACGCACCTTATCAATTTACGTATGAAAAGATCACAGCCTAGCCTAAAAACAATGAAGGGCAGACAAGCTCATAAAGTGTCTTATTTTATTGTGTAGTGGACAGAAATATCTACTTATAATTAATCCCTTAATCTTTGAGCAAAGAAAACATTTAAAAATAAACAGACAGATAAATAAATAAATTATGTATTCCTAACCAACCATATTGCCTTTATGAAGATGCACCTCAATACACTATCATTGATAGTATCAGTATATTGGACTAGATCAGGCTATATACATCAGTGATGACAAGTTTGATTAATTTCGAAAATGGCATGCATTGAATTAAACTAATCAAGCTTTCAGTGAATATTTTTTTTTCAGTTGCTTTAAGAACATTTTGCAAAACTGTGGATAGATTTAGAAGAAAAACTTGCAGAACACCACCTCTAGTGATTCATATATACCCCCCCCCCCCCACGTTTAAGTCAGATATGGCATGTTTTTTGGTAAGTTTAGACTGCAGGCACCTGGCGATTACTAATTTTTCTTTTAATAAAAAAATATATCCCTTCTTAATAATAAACTAGGTAGGAGTATATTTTTTTTATTTAAAGAACAAGAGGTCCATGGGCGTTATAGGTCACCTGAGCATCATACAACAACTTTCAAATGATTGAATTTGGTTCATGTTTTAAGCTAGATGCTATGGCATTTACAATTTTGAAAGAGGCATCATTACTAATCATAACTATACACTTGGCAATTGCTTAGTTTGGTTATTTAATACTGGGCATAGGCAGGGTAGGGGAACAAAAAATGCATTTCAAGTAACCAGTAATATATTCAGCAATAATCAGAAGTGCCCCTACCACACATGAACCCCTGACCCTAGTTCCACACATTGCTCAATGTTTGAAAAGGCACACTTGCTTATCAAAAATGTTTGATAACCGTAATACCAAGGAGCAGATTTCAAACAATTCATTTTCAGTATATAAGTATACCCTCCTCTATGATACCCCTGACCCAGGGGCCTTGAAATTCATATATCTGGAAGAAGAGCCCTTGCACATCGTAACTATATATTAGGTAGTTCATCTGCTTATTACCCAGATGCAGAGAAAAAGATTTTCAAAGATGTAATGTATTTTCACTATATAATCATTATAGAGCCTCGCCCTAACATCAGAACCCCTGGCCCTGGGGCCATCAAATTCATAATTTTGGAAGAGGTACTCTTGCTCATCATAACTATGTGCTTAGTTTATTTAATACCCAGGAGCAGAGAAGATGATTTTTAAAAAATTAATGCATTTTCACTATATAATCAATATAGCCCCATCCTAGCACTAGAACCCCTGACTCTGGAGCCATAAAATTCACAATTTTAGTAGAGGCACTCTTGCTCATCATAACTATGTACTTAGTTAGTTTATTTTATACCCAGGAGCAGAGAAGAAGATTTTCAAAGAATTAATGTATTTTCACTATATACTCAATAGAGCCCCATGAATTTCACAATTTTGGAAGAGGCACTCTTGCTCATCATAACTATGTACTTAGTTAATTCATTTAATACCCAGGAGCAGAGAAGAAGATTTTCAAAGAAATAATGCATTTTCACTATATAATCAATATAGCCACGCCCTTGCACTAGAACTCCTGACCCTGGGGTCATGAATTTCATAATTTTGGTAGAGGACTCAATGCTCATTGCAGTCATGCCAAAAGTTTGACTGCTTGATGTCCAGAAGTAAAGAAGAAGATTTTTAAAGATTTCATTAATTTAAAAGGTTTTGGCCCCACCCCTCTGGCCTCATTTTGATAAATTTTGTTTATTATTGTAGTTCAAAAAGCTAGAAATATGACCATAATTGATAAAATATGAATGCTCCACCAAGCAATTATTACTTTTAAATGCAAAATAAAACACACCTCATTTCTTTATTCTAGATTAGGGCACATGAGGAATAGTAAGGTCAAGGTAAAAAAAAAAAAGGCTAAGATTAAAAATTATGATAAGGGTTAATAGTCTCTCATCAATTTTTATTGTTGTATAAACACAAAAAATAATAAAGTCAAAGGTCATTGGGAAGGTTAAGGTAAAAAGTTTGGACAGATGAATAGTTCTAACCAATATGCTTCAGATGTATTTCGATAATACATGTAATACATTGAATACTTTCTTTGAAACAAAGCAAAGTGCAAAATTAAAGAAAAGTAAGGTCACAGGTCAAGGTCAATTTTTTTAAGCAGTTGAATAGAACTCACTTATATATAACAGCTCATAAAATTTAACAAGAATATCAGGAATGGCTACTTTAAATCTCAGTTTAATGTAAATTTATGAAAAGTAAGGTTAAGAGACTTCTTATTTTCCCTAACCTTATTCATATGTGTAACTTTGGTTGCTAATTGAGGCCCCACCCTACCCCTATGACTTGAACAAACTCCCCACCCTTATAATTGTTTGAACTTGCAGTATAGAGAACCCAAGGAATGCTCCATCAAGACAAACAAATAATCTCAATAACTGGAAAGTAACTTGACTTTAAGTCATTTAATATATTGAAATTGTAGAAATAACATAATTTATGCACCATCTTTGGCCATTGTTGTTCGTGAATGTTACTGAATAAGTTAGCATAAGCTGAACTGATCACAGAATATGACATTATGCTGCTAATTGTCCATTGTTATTGTCGCTGATAGAGATACAGGTAGGCCAGATCGCGTGGAGGGTGTTCAGACAAAGCCACTTTTTCGTCATTGTAGATAACCCAGCGCCCCTCCTTCTTGATGTGACAGACATAGTGGCCGACCATTGTAGAGGTTCCCATGTGGCTGATAAATGCCACCAGTTTATACTCTGTAACGAAAACATAAAATGAATAAAGTGGCAGTTAGGAAATTCAATAAGGAAAAGTTTCAGAAGCTATTTGAATTATAAGTAAAAACACTAAGAAACAATGTTGAGTTTTTATCAGTTCAAATTTTATGAAAGTTTGTACCATTATGTTTATGTCTTGATTTTTAATCCATTACCAACACTTACTGCCTATAGACGTTTGATACATTGCCTATATGTAGACGTTTGATACATTGCCTATATGTAGACGTTTGATACATTGCCTATACGTAGACATTTGATACATTGTCTATATGTACACATTTGATACATTGCCTATATGTACACATTTGATACATTGCCTATATGTACACATTTGATACATTGCCTATATGTACACATTTGATACATTGCCTATATGTAGACGTTTGATACATTGCCTATATGTACATGTTTGATACATTGCCTATATGTACACATTTGATACATTGCCTATATGTAGACGTTTGATACATTGCCTATATGTAGACATTTGATACATTGCCTATATGTACACGTTTGATACATTGCCTATATGTACACGTTTGATACATTGCCTATATGTACACGTTTGATAATTGCGTATATGTACACGTTTGACACATTGCCTATATGTACACGTTTGACACATTGCCTATATGTACACGTTTGATACACTGCCTATATGTACACGTTTGATACACTGCGTATATGTAGACGTTTGATACATTGCCTATATGTAGACGTTTGATACATTGCCTATATGTAGACGTTTGATACATTGCATATAAGTAGGCGTTTGATACATTGCCTTTATGTAGACGTTTGATACATTGCCTATATGTAGACGTTTGATACATTGCCTATATGTAGACGTTTGATACATTGCCTATATGTAGACGTTTGATACATTGCCTATATGTAGACGTTTGATACACTGCCTATATGTAGACGTTTGATACATTGCCTATATGTAGACGTTTGATACATTGCCTATATGTAGACGTTTGATACATTGCCTATATGTAGACGTTTGATACATTGCCTATATGTAGACATTTGATACACTGCCTATATGTAGACATTTGATACATTGCCTATATGTAGACATTTGACTTACTGCCTTCCCCGTCCCTGTACGTTGTATTGGGTACCGTGTCTCCCCCAGCCTCTGTCTCCATAGGAGTGTCCAATTCATCAGTGTGGCTAAATATCCAATCTACTGCCCTCTCTACATTGTTATCCTTCAAAGAAACACATTCATGTCAAAATCTCCCATCATATACCTAGTGTTTTCCTTTTAATTCAAAGTAAAGGATTAGAGATGAATTGTAACAGGCTTTGAGCTGAGGTTTCTGTAGACCTCACAACAATTAAACTTTGATTTTTTAAAATTCAAAGTGGCAATTTGTCAATTGAAGTGGTCAATTTGGCCGGTAGCCGGTTCTTACGGAAAACCTGTATACCTAGTACAAAAGAATACGTAACTGGGTATTTACAACATTGTCACTTTTCAGGATTCTAATACATGTATGAGGATTACAAAGAAAAACACACACACACACACACACAAATATACACCTTTTGCTTGAAACTTGAATCGTAGTTCTAATATAATCATTAATCTTTGCATACATACAGTGTTTTTAAGAGCTTTGATGGCCTGGTCTCTATTAAACCCCATTGACATCACCATTCCTACTGCATCCTCATTGGGAACAAAACTTCCTGCTTTTGGTTTGCCACCAGGCGGAACAAACGGAGCGTTGAAATCTGTGTTAAAAAAACAGAAAATGAATTCTTACAGCATACATTTTCATCTGGACCTATAGTAAACATGTTTTACAAGTCTTTGTAATGGATTTCCATATC